AATATAAACATAAAATTTAAAATATATTAAATACAATTTTTATTAATATTTTGTATATTTTTAATACCTTTGATCTTTAAATGTATTCAACTAATCCTAATTAGTTGAATATATTTAATAAATTTGACATTTTATTTTCTTCATTGCTTGTGATTCTATATTTTATCTGATCTAACCTAGCTACATTTAAAGGAAGGTTTTCAATGAAATTTTTTTGAATTTATTATTTTACTTTAACTTAGCAATAATTTCGTCATATTTTCATAAGCAACAGAATATTTTAAGAAAAAAATTTCAATGTCAATATAAAAACATAATTTAGTAAAAGGAGGAATTAACATTCAAATGATAAGAATATTATAGTAATAGCCAACCTTTTTGATAATTTATAGTAGCTATATGTTTCTCTCTCTTTTTGGATAGATTATTATTTTTATTTTTATCTTTCTTAAATATCTATAAATATTCATAAATTTTTATTTCAAATTTATTAATCAAACTTTTTTTTTAATTTTTCGAATACTTCATTGAACCATTTTAAATATATGAAAATAACAGTTAGTAGTATATCCTTCAAATAATGCCCAATCAATACGAAATTTTCTATCAAATAATCATTTTATTATTAAATTATCTTTCCTTAAGATTTCTCTCCAACTGTTAAATTTCTGCATCAATACTTATAAGTCCCTCTTTCTTTTTTCATTTTTTTTAAAGGTTCTACAAGAACTTTAATTTAACAAAGCCTTTTCTTCAAATTCATTATAATATTCAAATCTTTTATATTTTCGTAATTTATATTCTATTATATAGACTAGTTTAAAATGAAAACTCTTGAGTATGTCAAAGCTGATTATTAACGGTATTGGAGAACAAAAAAAATATCTCAGCATTATTTATACTAAAATTAAAATTTTTTTTGGGTTTAGCCGAAACCTTTCTGTCTTATCCCATTAAATAAAACGCATTTCTGTATATAACAAATATTTTTGCTTTTTTACATCTAGCAAGCCACTTGAACATCCTGAAATTTGTTGACAAACATCCGCTAATTAATATGCAAAATATTTTCAGAAGATAATGCATATTAAGGCTTATGATTAATATGGCCCCAATCTATTGGTTTTTTCAAAATTCAATTATTTAAGAAAGATATTAATATATAATTAGATAAATTAATTTTGTAAAATGAAAAAATTACTTAATACATGAAAACCTTCCTTGATTAATTATACAAAGTTCTATTACAGCATTTAGTCAATAGATTCATATAGGACTATATAAATCGAAAATTAATCTGATAAATATGGAGTGTGTAATCCATCTTGATGTTTTTAGAATTGTTTTAATTGGATGATTTCTATATTTCTTTTCCTCATCCTATTTCTTTGAGCTATCCGGTTAAATAAATAAATAGATAAAAGTAATTATAAAATAAATCTGGCAAAAATATTATTATTGAGTTCACAATTAAATAATGTATCATTATATTGAACAAAAAGAACAGTAAGTTGTCTATTCATTCCTCAGAGTAGGCACTGCCATAAGTGAATGGTGATGAGATTCTTGAATCACAATAGTCTCCTCACTAAACAATTCTTGCTTGATCATTCTTAAATACTATAACCCATCTGATAAAATTCTATTAATGTTATTATCGATAAATTATATGATTTTAATTGAATCTAATATTCCTTTTTTCCAAAAGATATTTGATGCAATCGGAATTTCTTTCATTTAAATATTTGATACTGTCTCAACACAATCAGTAAATAAATTTATTTCAGGAATATCTTATTATTTTTAAGCTAGTTCAATAGCAAGAAGATGAAACTCTATCTCTAATTTTTTAGAAAAAGTATTCTAAATAAAGTATAATTAAGCAAAATTTCTGTCAATTATTATTTATTTAAAATTATCTTAATACCCAAGCGCTTTGAAAATTATTTCAAAAAGAGATCCCATAATTTCATGTTAAATTACATAATTTTCATATTTAAATGTACAAAATTAATTTGGAAATAATTTTTACTTTTCCTTTTAAATTGAACTAACTTTTATAATTTTATCAGCTTATTAAATATCTAAACAGAATTACATAAAAGAAATGAGGTTGCAACATAAGGATTTGAAATAAAGATATTTATTATTTTTCTTTTCATTTATTAAATTAGTAATTTCTGTTTAAATTGTAGCGATATTTACATCGTTTATATCTACTTCTTATTCCATTTATAGAGTTTAATAAATCAATGAGAAGTTTTTTTAAATATCTTATATTATTAGTTGTAGTTGGTCAATTTAATTAAAAAGATAATTTTGGTTTGATTAAAGAGATATTGGTTATAAAATTGTTATTAATTTACTTACAACACTTGCTTCAATTCTTTTTATTTCATTAATTTACTATAATTTGACTTGAGAATCCAGAGGTAAGGTTTTTATTAACAATTTTTCCTTCTCGAATGAAGTTATGATTTCAAGTAAAATAGGGAGCATTTTGTTAATAAATTAGTGAATGTTAGTTAATGAAGAATTTTTATTAATTTTTAGATGAGTATCGGCTTATAATAAACAGAGAGAAGCTTATTGAATATCATTCATCTTAAGGTGTAGTTCACCAAGATTGATTAAATAAAGAGAGTTATTGGGTTCAAGCTAGATAGCTTCTTCATAATTTTTTAATGCTTCATGATAATTTCCTAAGTTTACCAGGTAATTTCCTAAAATTTAGATATTTAATAACCCCTATTATTGTAAGAATTAGAATTTCTTGAATTTAATTCAATAGATTTATTGAAGTCTGATTCAGCTTTGCTGGTTTAGCCCATTTCGAGATATAAGTTTCCTATTAAGGAGAGATCATAATTACCCCTGCAATCATAAGCAATTTGGTATTTAGGATTAAGTCTAATAGATTTGTTAAAATCTTTTAGAGCTAAATTTATTTGATTTTGTTTCCAATACGAATTTGCTAAATAATTATTAAATATGATTGCCTCTATGGTAATATGCATTAAAATCATCTGATTTTAGTATTATTGCTTAAGAAAGGTCAGAAATGGCTAATTTGATTTCACCTAAATGTGAGTAAAGTATTGCTTTGAATAATCAATATTGCTTTACCTCTACTTTTATAAGCCATTTAATCATTACTATTTAATTTGATTGATAAGTTATAATACTCTAAAGCTTCTTCATATCTATTTAAGGATTATAAGATAATTGCTAATAAGATCTAAATAAATTGAGACCTGAATTTAGGTATAAAGTAGAATCTTTTTTAGTATAATTAATGGCTTGATTAAAATCTTTCAAAGCTTCATCAAATCGATTTAAATTAAATAATAGAATTCCTTTAATTATTTANTTGAGTTCACAATTAAATAATGTATCATTATATTGAACAAAAAGAACAGTAAGTTGTCTATTCATTCCTCAGAGTAGGCACTGCCATAAGTGAATGGTGATGAGATTCTTGAATCACAATAGTCTCCTCACTAAACAATTCTTGCTTGATCATTCTTAAATACTATAACCCATCTGATAAAATTCTATTAATGTTATTATCGATAAATTATATGATTTTAATTGAATCTAATATTCCTTTTTTCCAAAAGATATTTGATGCAATCGGAATTTCTTTCATTTAAATATTTGATACTGTCTCAACACAATCAGTAAATAAATTTATTTCAGGAATATCTTATTATTTTTAAGCTAGTTCAATAGCAAGAAGATGAAACTCTATCTCTAATTTTTTAGAAAAAGTATTCTAAATAAAGTATAATTAAGCAAAATTTCTGTCAATTATTATTTATTTAAAATTATCTTAATACCCAAGCGCTTTGAAAATTATTTCAAAAAGAGATCCCATAATTTCATGTTAAATTACATAATTTTCATATTTAAATGTACAAAATTAATTTGGAAATAATTTTTACTTTTCCTTTTAAATTGAACTAACTTTTATAATTTTATCAGCTTATTAAATATCTAAACAGAATTACATAAAAGAAATGAGGTTGCAACATAAGGATTTGAAATAAAGATATTTATTATTTTTCTTTTCATTTATTAAATTAGTAATTTCTGTTTAAATTGTAGCGATATTTACATCGTTTATATCTACTTCTTATTCCATTTATAGAGTTTAATAAATCAATGAGAAGTTTTTTTAAATATCTTATATTATTAGTTGTAGTTGGTCAATTTAATTAAAAAGATAATTTTGGTTTGATTAAAGAGATATTGGTTATAAAATTGTTATTAATTTACTTACAACACTTGCTTCAATTCTTTTTATTTCATTAATTTACTATAATTTGACTTGAGAATCCAGAGGTAAGGTTTTTATTAACAATTTTTCCTTCTCGAATGAAGTTATGATTTCAAGTAAAATAGGGAGCATTTTGTTAATAAATTAGTGAATGTTAGTTAATGAAGAATTTTTATTAATTTTTAGATGAGTATCGGCTTATAATAAACAGAGAGAAGCTTATTGAATATCATTCATCTTAAGGTGTAGTTCACCAAGATTGATTAAATAAAGAGAGTTATTGGGTTCAAGCTAGATAGCTTCTTCATAATTTTTTAATGCTTCATGATAATTTCCTAAGTTTACCAGGTAATTTCCTAAAATTTAGATATTTAATAACCCCTATTATTGTAAGAATTAGAATTTCTTGAATTTAATTCAATAGATTTATTGAAGTCTGATTCAGCTTTGCTGGTTTAGCCCATTTCGAGATATAAGTTTCCTATTAAGGAGAGATCATAATTACCCCTGCAATCATAAGCAATTTGGTATTTAGGATTAAGTCTAATAGATTTGTTAAAATCTTTTAGAGCTAAATTTATTTGATTTTGTTTCCAATACGAATTTGCTAAATAATTATTAAATATGATTGCCTCTATGGTAATATGCATTAAAATCATCTGATTTTAGTATTATTGCTTAAGAAAGGTCAGAAATGGCTAATTTGATTTCACCTAAATGTGAGTAAAGTATTGCTTTGAATAATCAATATTGCTTTACCTCTACTTTTATAAGCCATTTAATCATTACTATTTAATTTGATTGATAAGTTATAATACTCTAAAGCTTCTTCATATCTATTTAAGGATTATAAGATAATTGCTAATAAGATCTAAATAAATTGAGACCTGAATTTAGGTATAAAGTAGAATCTTTTTTAGTATAATTAATGGCTTGATTAAAATCTTTCAAAGCTTCATCAAATCGATTTAAATTAAATAATAGAATTCCTTTAATTATTTATGATAGGAAACCTCTATTTTTATATACATTTGACTAAGCTTTTAATTCAATTGCTTTGTCAAAATCTTTTAAAGCCTCATGATTTCTTCCTAAATCAACATAAAGCATAGCTAGAGATATTTTTATATAAACCTCTGCTGTTATAGGCATCTGAAAAATTTGGGTCTAATTAAATTGCTTGATTAAAGTCATCTAACGCTTCTTCACATCTTGCTAGATCTGAATATAAGTTCCCTAACATATAATGCAAATATTTACCTCTATTATTATATATTTTGGAATCTTATGGATTTAATGCTATGGCCTTATTGTAATCAAGTAATGCCTCTTAATTTTTCTCCATATTATAATACAAAATTCCTAATTGATGATATCTTAAAGTTGCTGAACCTCTATTATGATATATTAATGAATTGTTGGGATTTAAAATTAGAGCCTTATCATATTCTAGCAATGCTTCATCAGTTCTACCTGATTCATATGATTGATTTCCTTTCATTAAAGAAAATATTACCACAGATTACATGTTGTTCCCATGTTAATTCTTCAGTGATTAATTTCTTTTACTTTTCTTTCTTCATTAAGAAATTTATTTATAATAATATTAGACGTGTAAATTGAATGTTCAATCTTAATTAAAAATTTTAGGTATTTCTTTTATTGAAAATTAGAGTGAAAGTTCTAAATAAATATTCCACTCAATAGTTTATATAATGATATAGTTATTAATAAGGGTTTGATTATTTTGAAATCAATTATTTCAAAAAATATAATAAATGAGAATTGATATAATAAAATTTTAGGCATACGAAAAAATGTTTCCAAAATTTTTAATTAATAGTAATTATTGGGATAGAAGAATAATTTTGAAATACAATATAAAAAAAAAATAGGTTTTGGATTAAATATAAAATCGCTATTCATTCTGATTTTTGTGTTTCTTGTACTTATTTTTATTTTTAGCTAAATTCTTGAATTTCAATTAAAGAGTGATCAGACAAGAATTTAAATTATTTTTCCATATCATCTATTTATTATGTTGGAATTTTGGAATCTTGAAGCTATTGTTAATACAATAATTGTTATTATTATTTCTATTTTTCGACATTACTTTCTAATTTGGATCTTCTATAGGTTTGATAATTTTGTTATTTAATTAGTTCCTATTCTTTAACGAATTAATCGATATCTGTTAAATAAGATATGCTGTCACTATATAAGAATTATAGTTAATAATCAGCTCATACTCTTACAGATACAAGATCAACTTTTTTATTATCATTTTTTGGTTTTAGTTCATGAATCTAGATTAGAAATACTCAGACATAAAAAGAACAAAAGTTTAAATAGAGCCTTTCTTTTTAGGTGGTAGAGTATTTTCGAAATAATTAGAAATATGAAAATTATTATAAAATATAATTTGACATATTTTTTTTAAGTTATGACAAAATATTTGCCTTCCCACCATTTCTTATCAGATGAACTAAATATTACTTAAAATTTAGAAATATGATATAGACTAAAGAATGGGATGAGAACGCAATCATTATTTTTTATGTTAATTATTAAATTTTGATTCATATAAACAACATTATGTAACATCATTATATAATTTCTCGCCTTTTTGATATATCTCATATGAAGTTTAAATTATTATAAGTATTCCATACATCTTTTTATACTGATGCTAAATAGGATCTCAGATATTAAGTTTTCATAATCAAATTAAGAATTCCAAAAGTATCTCTATATAGGTTCGCTAATTAAGAATTGATTATGTTATTTTGGTGTCTAGTGTTGTGGTAATTGTGGCTTGTTGGCTCTTTGTTATGATTATAATTTTTAAGCCTTTGATTATCCTCCCCCCATATATATATTAAATTAATAAAAAATAATATGTAAAATCCACTCTTTTACAAAAGTAAATGGTTGATTGTTATAAAATATAGATAGATTATAGAGAGGAGATAATTTGAGTGTGAAATTTATTGTGAGCTTGTCTTAAAATTTGGAATATCAGAAGCATGTGTTGAAATTTTGGGATTAGATTGGAAAGAATCCATAAGGGAAAGTATTAACAACTGAGTTGTTAGAGGTGAATTTCTATAGTTATTATAGGTTATTACAGCAATTATGAAGTGTGTAATATGTTTACCAGATGAAAGTCTGAAACAGTTATCATAATAGTATTTAGAATCGATGACAGATGTTGATCCAAATCTACCAGAATACTTGTGTTATCAGGTGTTTGTAGATGCAATAACTTAATTGTTGTTTTAACTGATTATTCAACCAGATTTGAGTNTACTTATTTTTATTTTTAGCTAAATTCTTGAATTTCAATTAAAGAGTGATCAGACAAGAATTTAAATTATTTTTCCATATCATCTATTTATTATGTTGGAATTTTGGAATCTTGAAGCTATTGTTAATACAATAATTGTTATTATTATTTCTATTTTTCGACATTACTTTCTAATTTGGATCTTCTATAGGTTTGATAATTTTGTTATTTAATTAGTTCCTATTCTTTAACGAATTAATCGATATCTGTTAAATAAGATATGCTGTCACTATATAAGAATTATAGTTAATAATCAGCTCATACTCTTACAGATACAAGATCAACTTTTTTATTATCATTTTTTGGTTTTAGTTCATGAATCTAGATTAGAAATACTCAGACATAAAAAGAACAAAAGTTTAAATAGAGCCTTTCTTTTTAGGTGGTAGAGTATTTTCGAAATAATTAGAAATATGAAAATTATTATAAAATATAATTTGACATATTTTTTTTAAGTTATGACAAAATATTTGCCTTCCCACCATTTCTTATCAGATGAACTAAATATTACTTAAAATTTAGAAATATGATATAGACTAAAGAATGGGATGAGAACGCAATCATTATTTTTTATGTTAATTATTAAATTTTGATTCATATAAACAACATTATGTAACATCATTATATAATTTCTCGCCTTTTTGATATATCTCATATGAAGTTTAAATTATTATAAGTATTCCATACATCTTTTTATACTGATGCTAAATAGGATCTCAGATATTAAGTTTTCATAATCAAATTAAGAATTCCAAAAGTATCTCTATATAGGTTCGCTAATTAAGAATTGATTATGTTATTTTGGTGTCTAGTGTTGTGGTAATTGTGGCTTGTTGGCTCTTTGTTATGATTATAATTTTTAAGCCTTTGATTATCCTCCCCCCATATATATATTAAATTAATAAAAAATAATATGTAAAATCCACTCTTTTACAAAAGTAAATGGTTGATTGTTATAAAATATAGATAGATTATAGAGAGGAGATAATTTGAGTGTGAAATTTATTGTGAGCTTGTCTTAAAATTTGGAATATCAGAAGCATGTGTTGAAATTTTGGGATTAGATTGGAAAGAATCCATAAGGGAAAGTATTAACAACTGAGTTGTTAGAGGTGAATTTCTATAGTTATTATAGGTTATTACAGCAATTATGAAGTGTGTAATATGTTTACCAGATGAAAGTCTGAAACAGTTATCATAATAGTATTTAGAATCGATGACAGATGTTGATCCAAATCTACCAGAATACTTGTGTTATCAGGTGTTTGTAGATGCAATAACTTAATTGTTGTTTTAACTGATTATTCAACCAGATTTGAGTTCTGCAATTTACATTTTGAAAACAATTCATTCTCGTATTTTTCGTCGGTAGTTGATAGATGTAAAAGGTATTGGTTTCTTATGATTATTAGACAATACAAAATAAGATGTAGATTATCACATTCTTGTGAAAATACATAATTCTGATAAAGTTGAATATTGTTTGAAAAGTGACAACAAAAAGTCTTACTTCCCAATATATTATACTGAATAGTACATCTATAATGAAGAATAATTATAGAGTGCTAATATAATTCCAAGTAGAATAATCAAATATAAATTGGCACCACTCAATGAAATTATTCCTATTGGAATGAGTTGTGAATGTATGATATTTACCTTGATGAATAATAATTGTTAACAATCTGAATACTAACATTATACATCCTCTTAATATGCATTTGCAAAGGAAATCAAATTGGTTGGTAATGTTACTGAAACATTCTTACTGACATTACCGAATAGTCAATTAGTTCCAGAGATTGGATTGCAATACATAATAGAATAAACTGATGATTCTTATGGATTTCATTCTCAATTTTATAAATTAAGCAAATTGATAACAAGAGATATATAATGGTCTTAATTCCCATTAAAAAGTTAAGAGGGAAATAAATTATTAATTAATATAAAAAGCGAATTCTTTACAGAAGAAGATTACCGAATTGATTAAATAAACAAAGTTAATAAGAAATGGGAAAGAAAGATAGTTTCAGCTAAAAGATAATTGTTAACTTCTTAATTATAAACATTTGATATTACTAAGTCATCTAATCCTGATAAAAGATAACCAAAGAACATTCCCTAGATTCTTAGAACTTTTTTGGGTGATTTAAATTAACCAAAAGATTTATAATAATTATAGTCTGCATTAGAAATAATCTAAGAATAATAATCAAATATTTAATTACCATCATTTTAATAATATTTGAGTAAATTCATATCACCAAAAGGATAATTACCAGTTGATAGTAAAAATCCTTATGAAGATGATGTAATTGAATATGCAAATTAAGCACCTCCTTAAATATTCTTGATTGGCAAACCTAGAAGTGGTAGAAGTACATTTGCTAAGGCATTAGCTAAATAACTTGATTTAGAATACTTAGATTTAGAAAAGGGAATTTAAAGAATTTATGCTAAAGTAACAGAAAATGAGAATAATCCATAAATGGATGAAGAGGGTAATCCAAAAGAATTTTTGAATCCTTTAGAGAGAGAGGTTATTGATTCATTAAAATTTGGAAGAGAATTGACTTAAGAACAATTAGAATAGTTATTTAATGTTGAATTATAATAAGATTTACCTAAAAATAAAGGATATATATTAGATCTACCTTTGGAGAATCAATTTTGGGTGAATTCAATATTATCAAACAAAATGTTACTACCTAAAATAGGGTGTAGATATTTTACACATGTTGTCAATTTAGAATAATCAGATGAAGATGTTTTGCATTTTGCTGCTAGAATAATGGAAAAACAAGATGATCTAGTTGCAACTTCATAATTTGATAGAGAAGAATAAAAAAGGCCTAAAATTAAATATAAAGATCCAAATGATCCAGATGAAGAAGAGGATTAAGGAGAAAATCCAGATGATGAAGAAAAACCACCTATTGTACCAGAAAAGGATCTATTTTATAGACCTTTAGATTAGGAATTTTTAGTAGAATCGCTTTCAAATTTTTAAAAATCATGGTAGAAACTATTATCATTATATGATCATTTACCAGATTAAAATATTATTACACTCCAATCAGCTGGCTTGACAACATAATAATTAGTAGATCGTGTATCAGCTTAAATTTTAAAAGGATAACCTTTAAGACCTTTAGCTATTAAATTAGAGGGTGGTTCAGAGAAGGATTTGTTAGGATTAAATTTAACAGATGAAAAAGTTTATAGAATGTGGTCATAATGGTAATAAGTTGATGCAGTTGAATTAGTATTAAAAGATAAAATTATACCAGGTAAGGCAGAATTTGCTTGTGAATATGCAGGTAGAGTGTTTTTGTTTGATAATGAAGAAAATCAAAATAAATTTATTAATTATCCCAGAAAATATTTATGTAAACCTCCATAATTGCCTAAAACATATATAGTATCAGTTTAAGGTCCTAAATGTTCAGGCAAAAATACTGTTGCTAGTCAATTAGCTGAATTTTATGGGTACACTTTAGTTGATGTTGAAGATATAGTGAGAAAGAAAGTTTAAGCTTAATAAGAGAGAACTAAACATTTAGCTTCTACATTTGATCCAAGAGTTAATGATATTCATTTAACAGAAGCTGAATGGAAAGAATTCTATAAAGGAAATGCTATAAAAGATGTATTACCTATGGTGCTTAATTATTTAAATATACCATTATAAAGAAAACCTCCAGGATGGGGAGAACCAAAGAAAGAGGAAGAAGAATAACCACCTGAAGAAGATGAAGAAAAGAAAAAAAAGGAAGCTAAAAAATAATAAGCAAAAAAGAAGAAGGAAGAAGTAGTTGAAGTTGTAGAAGAGAATGTTAAACCTGTTACTCCACCTCCTGAAGATGTACCAACTAAAGAGATTATTCCATTATTGGATAATGAATTAAAAGTTCCTGAAACATCTAAACCAAAAGGTATAGTGATCATAGGATATCCATAAACATAAGAATAAATTGATTAATTAAATTTATGGGGAATTAAAATAGATAAGATTTTAATATTGTAAGATAGATCAGAAGAAGCTGGATAAATATTATTATAAAGAAATCCTGATATTTTGATTGAATAAGAATTAACTTAAATTAATGCATTGACTTCATTATTAAAAGAAGCTTATTAAGAAGAAAATGTTAAAGAAATTCCTATTGATGGAACAAGAGATGAAGTATGGTCAAGAGTACGTTTGGCATTAGATCCATTTTATATTAGAGTAGATGATGAAAGCTTAGTGAGAGCACCAGCAGATGTTTAAGAAGGGGAAGAACCTATTCCTTATGGTGATTATGCTAATTATTGTCCTGTTACATTATAAAAAACTAATTGGTTAGTACCAGGAAAAGAAGAATTTATTGCTTTAGTAAGAGGAAGAGTTTATAGATTTTATGGAGAAAAAGAATAATAAATATTTAAAGATAATGTCTAATAGTTTGTTCCATCGAAAATTACAATACCTTAACCAAGAATAATGTTTATTGGTGTAAGAGGAAGTGGTTTACGTACTCAATTAAAAATATTGAATAGATTATATAAGTTACCAGTTTTAGATTTGAAAGGTAATTTAATTTAAAATCTTGAAATTAATAAAAAGAATAGATAATTGAATAGATATTATTTAAAAGGATTTAAACCAAAGGAATTAGATGCTGATGGAAAAGAAATTCCAGATGCTGAAATAACTGAAGATCCTGCTGATTTTGATCGTAAAGCTCATGAAATTGAAGTATTAAATAAAATCTTAGATTGTGCAGGTGTTATTATTAATGCTAATTTCTTTGATGTTTCAGAAGAACTTGTTTCAACTCCAATTGTTGATTTATTGGTTGAAGCTAAGAAATTACCTGAATATGTTATTTTACTTAAAATAGAACCTGAAAATTTTATTAAAAGAAATTTTAATTCAAAAGTTATTGAAGATGAATATTAAATGAAAATGGAAGAATTGAGATAAAAAAGATATTAGGAAAGAGTGGAAGCAAGAAATAAGGCTATTGAAGAAGGAGCTGAAGAGTTGCCATCATTGGAAGCTCCTCCAGGTGAAGAAGAAGATCCAGAAGCACCAAAATTAGATGAAATGTTAAAAGAATAGAAAGATAAATTATTATAATAACATGAAGCAGATATGGCAAAAATAGAAGAATTATAAAGATAATTTGAAGAATTAAAAATAAATGCAGTAATTATTAGTAGTGATACTACTATTGAAAATGTTACAGAAAGAATTACATCATAATTAGAAAATGTTATGGATAGAGAATATAGAGAAAATATGTTAGAAAAAGAATAATGTTAAAAATTAAATTTATATCCAGATCCAACTAATTTTAAATTAAATAAATTAGATATCTATGAAAAATTATATACTCATAAATAATCTAAATATGGAAATAGAAATGCTATTACTTTATAAAATGTTCCTCATTGTAGAGATTATCCTGTTTTATATAGAAATAGAATTTATTATCTTGATAATGAAGATTAAAGAGAATAAGTATGTTAAAGACCATATAAATACTTTTATAAACCTACAGTACCTAATGATGTTTAAATTAAACCTACTATATTCATTTTAGGAAAAGTAAAGTCAGGAAAAACTGAAATTGTTAGATTATTAAGTGAAAAACTTAAATTAGCTAGAGTAAAAGTATCTCATTTATTGGCTGAATTTGTAACAAATTAAACAGATTTATTGGCAGTAAATATTAAAAATTAATTGAAAGAAGGTAAGGAAGTTGATACTTAATCTATTATTTAAATTATACAAAAAAGAATTTAATTGGCAGATATTTATAATTAAGGATACATTTTAGATGGATATCCAAGAACCATTGATGAAGCATTAGCATTATCAAAAGTAGGTATCATACCAACAGTTGTATTTGTTTGTGATAAAGATGATGAATATGTAATTCGTAAATTAAATCCAAAATTTGGAGGTATTGATCATGTTGTTCATTCAAGATTATAAGCAAATTAAACTTCATTATTAGCATCATATTATTCATCAAATTTTAATAATGTTAGATATTTATAAGTTGGATAAGTATCTAGTTGGGGTATGATCTCTTTATGTACTAAATGTATCTAAGAGAATTTATATTCTCGAGCTTTAGTTGCCAGAGCATTAATTACATAAGAACCAGTAAGAGTAAGTTCATTGACTTTAACTGAAGAATAAATAATTTAAAAATTAAGTCCATTATATAATTATTGTCCTGTGTTAATAAAAGCTAAAAAGAATTATTTGGCCAGTTAGTTAAGAAGTCCATATTTATTATTTTATGATGATTAATTATATTTTGTATCAAGTGAAGATACTGAATAAGATTTTATAAAGAATCCCACTCATTATTGCAATAATTCAATTGAAAAATATAAGATACCAAAATAATTAACTGTTGGTGATAAATTTGATCCATTTCCAGAATATAAAGGTATTATAATAATATTATTATTTATAGGTCATTGTCCAGTTGAATTGATTAATAATAATTTAGTTAAGGGTCTTAGTAATTTAGTGATAGTTCATAAGAGTTAATAATTAATATTTGCTAATGCACATAATATGCAATTATTTGAAATGAATCCTTAAAGATATAAACATGCTAGATTACCTGATAAAATGTAATTGGGAGAATTATAATCTGTCAAAGTATATTATATATTTATATATATATTAGAATATAGCAAAAAAGGTTGCTAAGAGAGGTGATTGTACATCTTATTTAGAATTACATTTAAAGAATATTATCATAAGAGTTTTGGCTTAATTAGGATATTAGAAACCAAAATATCCTACTTTATCTTGTAAAGAAACTGTTTTGAAATTTATTGCTATTTCTTTGAAAGCTAATAATAAAAATAAGGATACATTTTATAGAAATAAATATCAAGAGAAATTAGAGAAATTCATAAAAAATTGCACTTTGGCTTAAGAGATTTAAGAGATGTATAAGAAATCGTAAGAAAGTGAAATAGATGAAGAGACTTTATTATAGAAAGTAGAATAATTTGATGAATTCATGGCTGAATTATAGGGTATGGAGAAATAAAAGTATTTTTAATAGTTCATCAGATGATTTTTACATTTTCATTGAATATTCAAACAAATATAGTTAATTTTTATTTTAACAAGTATTGTATATAATTAATAATTTTGAATTCAAAACATAAAATGCAACGAACTCTTGATTAGAGGTAAACCACTGAATAAATTAGGCGAAATAACAATTAAAATAATGCAGATCTTCTTCTTTCAGTTTATGAATTAACTGCAAGGTCATCTCTATAAATTGGACAAAGACCTAGATAATAGAGTCAAAGTAGAGAAAAATATAAATTTAAATAATGCGAATAAAAGAAAGTAGATTTGATGAGTATATCATCACCAGGAAGTTAAAAAAAGCTACCTCTTTCACCTTAGTTAAAATTATAATCTCCTAGAGAACCTGGCTTAATTTTTAATTTAATTAGAGCAGCAAATAATGCAATTGAAAATAATACAGATGATAAAATTATTAGAACTTATATGTAAATTAGAACATAAGTAGAAATGAGATTAGTAATTATTATATTAATTATTAGGATGTTTTAGAATCTGCAGATTCATTAGCTGTATAATTAGAAAAGATTAAATAAGAAAATGATACATTAAGAAAAAGAGTTAGTGATAACATTAATTCATAATCTCTATCAAATTTGGCATAATTAAAAATGCAATTATAAAAGGCTGAAAAAAAAGCAGAAGTATATTAAATTATAATTATTTATAGAGTAGAAAAGTATGTATCAAGAAATTGTATTAATTATTAGACAAGAGTGAGAAGGAATTAGAATTATATAAATCAGGTAAGAAAAGTGCCAAAACATCTTTTTCAAAAAAGAATGAATTAAATGAAATATTAAATGGAACATATCCAAAAAATAAAGAAAATATACCTGAAACTTATGAACCTTTGTTATTATCATTAATTAAGGATATAGATTAGAAGAATTATGAAGCTATTGAAAATCTATAAAAGAATAACAGTTTGAATACAGATATCGATATTGAGAAGAATGCTCTCATCTAAAATTCATTAAGTAACTACTCATCTCTATTACAAAGAATCTTTTAAGCTTATGTGTGAATAGAAGGAAGAGATTCTCAAATATTCTGCTTAAATCTGTGAGAATAATTAAGATCTATGGAAGAAGTTTTTAGAAATTGATTTAACATGCCAAAAATAGATTTCTACTCTTAGATAAGCTATATCTGAATTAGAAACTAATATTAAATCTTATTATTAATATTTAAATAAGATTGGTCATTATTCAGCATAAAAATTCTAAGATGCTTATCAATTTTAAGGAATTATTGGTGATAGCATAGCAAAATGGCTTAAATAATTAGGTGAAATTTAAGAAATCATTAATTAAAGAGAATCTGAATAATATGAATTTTAATAATTTTAAGAAACTCTTGTAATGAGATTAAAAGAAATTATATAAAATAATAAAATAGTTCATAAATAAAATGATTTTAAAGGATTATTAGATGCTATTAATGATAGATTATTTAATTAATCAGAAGAAATATTATTAATAAATAAAGAATTAAATAATACTCATATCAAAACTAAATAATAAATAGAAGATTTATAAAATAAATTTAAATTAGAATTTACTAATTATGAATTATAACTTAAAAATTATAAAGAACTTTATGATCAACTTTAAAATACAAATAAGGATTTATTAAATAAAAATGAAAATTTATAAATTGAATTTAATAGATAAGCTTAAATTAGTGTTTCAGCATTATAAAATAAATAATAAGAAATATTAACTCTTAATGAATAAACTAAAAAATTAAAAGAAGATATTACTAAATCCTAAGAACTTAAATTAACTTATAATGAATAATAAACATAAATTAATTAATTCAAAAAAGAAATTGAAAGATTAAATTAAGTTATATTATAAAATTAATCAAAATAATCATAATAAGAAGAAAATCTACTTACTGTTATTGAATAAAATAAATAAGAAATTACAAGATTACATCAATTAATTATTGATCTCCATAGTTAAATAGAATAATCTGATAATCAAATATAATTATTAAAAGAAGCTGAATAAATTATTAAAGATAAAATTAATAAAGATAATATTTTATATTAAGAAAAGATTAAGAAATTATAAGAAATTATATCAAATAAGGATATTGAACATTCTGCATTAGAAGAAGAATATAAAGCTATTTAATCATAAAATGTAGAATTCTATTCTTAATAATAATAAGATTAAGATACAATTAAATTAATTAAAAAGGATCTTTAAAAGAATTAAGAATAGTATGAACAAAAAATAAATGAATTTATTAAATTATCTGAAAAGTAATTATATGAAATTAAAGATCTATCAGAAAAGTATTAATAAACAGAAAATGAAAGAAGAAACTAAGATGAAACTATTTAGAAATTAAAAAAAGAATTACTAAAATAAACTAATGATCATTAAAAATAAGTTAAAACATTATAAGATCAATAAAAATAATCATAAGAAATGTTATAATAGAAATTATAATCTTTTGAAAGACTTAATGAATAAAATTAAATGATTATTAATGAATAGAAAAAATTATTAAATGAATCATAAGAATAGTTACAGAAAGTAAACTAAGAGAATGAAGCATTATTATAAAATAACAGCGAATCAATGTGTTCAATGAAAGAATAATATGAATTATAAGCATTAGAATTAAATTAAACAAAATAAGTTGTACTTGATCAATAAGAACTAATATAAAATTAACAATTATTATATCATGATACATAATAAGAATGTTAAAAATTAAAGAAATAATTTGAACAATAAGAAATTGTTAATAAATAAAACTAATTAGAATTAAATAAAAATATATAAGATCAAACAAATCTTATAAATTAATTAAAAATTAATCTTGAATAATCTGATAAAAAGCATATTGAAAAGAATACTTCAATAGAAGAATTATCTTAAACTTTAATTGTTACTTAAAATTAAATATCATAATTGAGATTAGAATCTACATAGCTTAATAATACAATTGAACAAAATTATAAAACTATTCAGGAATTGTAATCTTAGTTATAGATTTAATCTTCATCATATCAAACAGAAATACATTTATTAAAAAATGAATTGTAACAAATTGAAGATTAAAAAAAATAGGAAAAAGAATCTACATTATTGGAAATTTACAAATAGGTCTAAGAATTGTAAGTTTAGCTTTAGTAATAAAAAGATCAATATTAAAATACTATAGAATAACATTAAAATTAAATTAAACTTAATTAAGAAAAATATGATTTAGAAAAATAATAAGAAGTTAATCAAATTAACAGTTTAATGTAATAATAAATTTCAATTAAAGAAGAAGAAAAATAAGGTTTATTAGAATAAATCAAAACACTAGAAAATAAAATAGTATTATTAGATTAAAAATATAAAGATATAAATTTACAATCCCAATCTAATTAAAATTTATATAGACAATTAATTCAATAATTTGAGACTTTATAATAAGAATCTTAAGATGAATAATAAAAATGGAAAGATTAAATCTATTAAAAAGATGAAAAGATAAGATAAATGGAAATTAATTATAAATCAGAAATAGGAAAATTAAATGAAGAGTTAATATAGGCAAAAGAATATAGAAACTAAATAGAATAAAATTAAGTCAAATTGATTGAATAAGAATAAATAAAAGATTAAGAATTATTATAAGTTAAAGAATTATTAATATAAAAATAAAATGAAATAGATTCAATTGATAAGTTATTAAATGAAAGAGTTTTATATAGTGAAGAATTGAATGGAAAACTGATGTTGGTTTCAAAAGAATTGAGTCTATATAAAAATTAAAATAAAGATTTATAATAATAGATAACTTAATAATCAGAATTAAACTAAAATATTATAAATACCTTAAAATTAAAAGTTAATGAATAAGATTTACTTATAATTCATTTATAGACATAAGTAAAAGATCTTGAATGCTAAATGAATTCAAAACTAAGTGATATTATATCATAATAAAAGGATTTAGTCAATTAAAAATAATAAGAATTGGATAAAAATTAAAATCAATTAATTCTACTTAAAAATTAATATTTATAATTATAAAGAGAAAATGATGATTAAATAAAGTAAATTACAATTTTATAACAGATAAATAAAAATAAAGATCTTTAAATAAATGATTTTGAAAATGAAATTAATAGATTAAATTAATAAGTTAATACAATAAATAATTAGAATTAATTAAAATAAGAAGAATTAGATAATGTATTAAATCTATTAAAAGATCGTGAATAATAGATTGTTAATCAGATTGAACTTCTAAATACTTAACAATAATTATAAGTGAAATTAGAATCAGAATATAATGAAAAGTTAAATAATTTAAATTAAATTTCAATGAATTAGTTAGTAGAATAATTATAAATGGAAAAGGAAAAAGCAACAGAAGAATTGTAAAATAATAATGAAAAATTGAAGGACATGGTTAAAAATCAATAGACAATTTGTCAATAATTAAATGAATAATTATTATCTAAAGAAAAAGAATTATAAGAATAAGGAATTTTAATTGAATAATATCAGTAATAGGTATTGTAATTAAATGAAGAATTAACATTAATAATGGATGAAAAGTCTTAATAGAACTTAAAGATTCATTAACTAAGAACTAGTATTGAAAAGATATAATAAGATTTAGAGATCAAAAATATTTAATTAAAGAATAGTGATTTGGAATTAGAAAATTAAAAGTAAGAATTTGAAAGTTAATTTAATGAACTTGGAAATCAAAATAAAGAATTAATTATTAGACTTAGTGAATTGTAGTAAGAGAATAATGAATTATTAGAATAAGTAAAAAAGAGAGAGAATGAATTAAAAATATAGATTTTTGAGATGGAAGAGAAGAATCGTTTTGAAAATGAGGAATAAAATAAAATTAATTAAATTTTATAGTAAGAGTTATCTATATAAGAAGTAAGTGAAGAGAATGTTATTAATGCTTTATCTTAAATAAAGAATGAATTTTAAGAATTATTAGATAAATAATCTTAATATTCAACATTAATATTTTAATTATATTCTGAATTATTGACAGATGATGAAGAAGAAGATGTTGAAAAATAGATCTAAGTTATTAGTAATTAAATAGCAGGATTAATTGATATTAAAGATAAATATAAGAAGATATAAAATGAATTCGAAGGTGAGGGAGATATTCTCATAAAAATTAAGGAATTGAAGATAAGTGAATAGAAAAAATAGAGTAGTAATACATAGGATGTAAAATCAATAGAGGCTTATTCTTAATTATTAGATGGACTTATGCAAGAATTCTTACATAATAGAGTTAATTTAACTATGCAATCCATGAAATCATTATTAACAGATCAATAAAGATAAAATGTTAATGAATATAGAAAGAAGATTGGAGAATTATAGAATAAATTATTATAAGCAGAAAAATAATAAAAATGTATTGATGATACAAAATTCAATTTATAATAATATTAATAAATTGTTGATAAATCAGAAGTAATTATATTAATTTTATGTTTTAGTAAAAAGCTATGTATTATGAAATGGAATGCAAGAAATTAGTATAATAAATCTAAGAAATAAAATAGAAGATACCTCAAAGAATGAGTTTAAATGACTTAGATTAAGATTAATCAGAGTAACATAGTTTAAATATTTTGAATTTTTCATTAAGACAAGAAATATTATATGGAGATGATTCATTTTTTGATAATATTAGTTAAATTAAAGATGATGATGCACATTAGAAATGTTAATAATAAATTGTAAATTATTTAAAATACTTTTAGTTTAACTTAGTAGAAGAATGTTAATTATTATAAGAATAATTAAATATGCAAAGAGAAGACAAGAATATTTAAATTAAATGATATATTTTTTATAATAGTAATTTACTTAATTATTTATTATAAATAAATGAAGACTGGAAATATCAAAACAGAAGCTTAATATGCTAAGGCAAATTTTTATTATTCTGATGGAACAGGTATCATAGAAGATTTAATAAAAATCAGGACGTGATACTTATGTTCAATTTGATAACGGTGGATTAACATTACATGCTTAAAGATGTCATCAACCTCCTGTTGGAAGCTTTTAACCTAAAAAATCAAATAAAATTTATAGACCTTAATCAAGCAATAAGACTCTACATTATATTAGTAATGGAAGTGGAAGAGATAATTATATTTTGTAAATAGTATTAATTATAAATGTGAATAGAGATAGTCATGGTGGATTGATGAATACATGTGCAGATAGACATTGGTTAGTCTCATTTAAATAAGGCTTAAGAACTCCTGAGAGGGCAAGGTAGTGATACTTACTACTTTATAGACCTCGTTCTGGTGCCAAAACACCTTAATATTCTTATCAATAGAGAATTTGTAGACGTCTCTCTGTTCCTAAATATACAAAGATCCCATTTGAAAAACAATTATAAAGTGAAGATATTATATGAATAATACAAAATATATTATTTTAACAGAATAATTAATGAGCTTTCAAGAGATTTCATAGCAAATTGAGGATATGACCAATTTCCTTGTATGATTTCATTTAAACTTTATAGTTAGAATAGAGTGATGATAATTTATTAAATGCTTCACCTACAAATAGGGAATAAATAAATCTAATTATTCATGATTAGAAAGTGAAATAGAGAATAAGTTCTATGTTGAAATAGAAAGTAAATATTTATAATACTATAAAAAGAGTAGACAATATCCACATTAATATTTAACTGTTGAATTATCAAGTGAGGATAATTATGAAATTGAACTAGATTAAGATGATATTAAATAAGTAACGAGAATTTTATATTCAAAATCTTAGGTTTGTGAAAATTTTGGAGAAGTTAAATAAGTATATACAAAAGTCAATGGTGCAATCATAATTAAATTTAATTCAGTTTTTGATGCTTTCATAGTTTATAAACTATTAAACAAACATTAAATTAAAGAATTAGATGTCACTATAAAAATAGAATTTACAAGTTAATAAGATCTATTAGAAATAATGGAATTCCAAGATTCAAATCAACAAAAGTTTACTTGTAGATATGATGTATAAATTGATAATGATAAAGATTTTCAAGTAGCTCGTAAGATTATTGGTATTAAATTGGATTATATATTAGGTGCAAAAGGATGCAATATGAAAAAGATAATTGATTAATGTCTATTTGATTGTGATACAAAAGAATAAGATTTGGTTAAATTAAGATTAAGAGGAAGAGGATCTGGTTATAAAGAAGGACCTGAAAAAAGAGAATCTTAAGAACCTTTACATTTATGTGTATCCTCTAAACATAATCATCTCTTTCTTAGAGTAATAATAATAATAATTAAATTAGGCTTGTTAATTAGTAGAACAATTATTAATTAAAATATATGAAGAATATAAAATATTCGGATTAAGTAAAGGAAAGAAATCTTTGAATTTTGGTATTAAAAAGGTATAATAACCATTAAAATCTGTAATAAAACCTAATTTCATGCCTGAATTACCAAATTTCAATTTTTCAAATGTAATATAATTATTAATATAATCATAGAATCAGTTTATTGATTTTAATAATGAAAATATGATGGGTTATTCAAATTTACCTAATTAATTAATGTGAAACAAATATATCATATATATATATATATTAATATTTATATTAAATCATTCTTGTTTCTTTTATCTGACAATTTAATCATCTTTATCTTTTTCATAAACAATTGTCAATACTCCATTTTCAACTGTAAATGTACTCCATTTCCTTTCATAAATTTCTGGAATTTTGAATGACAATGCAAATTCACCATATTTACGTTCACTACGTTCTAGTTTTTCAGACTTTATAATAATTAATAAATTAAAATACTTCATAAGGTCTTTTACGTATTCCTTTAATAATAGTTACAACATTTTAACGATACACAAGAATTTCATTTTTGGTTAATCCAGGCACATCCATATAAATAATATATTAATCAGTAGCAATAATGTCAGTATTAGGTAAGAAACTATCAGGTCTTGTCATTATTAAACCACTTGAATCAATAGAGACTTAAGGTATTCTGACATTACTATCTTATACTTCTTATTAAGTAACAATAGTTTTAACTAAAAAGTCATCAGTATCTTAAATCTAAAGTGTAAGTATAGTTCTGAAATAAGATGATAATTTAGTCTAAATGAAATGAATGAATAACTAAATACCTTACTAAATTAAATGATACTATCTACAACAGAGAATTATCTATTAACAGGAACAAATACTGCTTTTAACCAATATCTTAATAATGAAAAAACCCAAGGATTAATTGACATTCCTAAATATGAATCATCATTAACTAAACAAACATGTCTAGTAAATTCAGTTTTGAACCATAAAACATGTTTTTCTTATAATTAATTATTGATTGGATTAATAGATGCTACTTTAGTTCTTTAAATAGATCCATTTGAATAGATTTAAGTAACTTGAGTACTCCAAACATGTTCTAAGATTTCAGGTGATTCTACTTCTTTCAGATTATGTATAACAATAATTTCTCTAAATGTTTTATTTGGAGAATTTTAAAGATTTCTACTCAATCTATCTAAATATCTTTAATCAAGACTAGTAAAATCATTAACTACACAAATAAAATAATCTGATATTTCAAAAACTAAATCAGTAATGAACATTTCTGTAGCTTCTTTTTCTACTATACTTAATTCATTTGTAATTTTAACAGGTGAATAACTACCTGCAGTATCAACAAGTATTAATTATGTACCTGAATCTACATTTACATGTTTAAATGAGACACCTTTTGTAGTTACTTTCTTTCCTGAAGGTAAATTAGAAGAAGTAAGATTATTGAGTACAAAAGTTTTTCCTTTATCATATAAACCTACAACTGCAACAGCTGCACCTTCCCATTAAGCTTTATGTTATTATTTAGTAAATCCATAATTAGGTACTTCTAATTCTGATTTGACTTATGAATCTGCAAATTTCTTTGATAAAAATACTTTCCAACCATTTTTAGCAATAGTAGTAATTAAATCTATATCAACAATCCAATCATATACACTTGTTTCATCTATTTCAATTTCTTTTAAATCTGATTATAATTCTTTATATTGAATAGGTTTATATTCCAAATTATATCCTGAAGTAATTGCATTAGGTTTAGTCATAACATCTTCATGTAATACAGATTATTATTCTTATTATTATATATTTACATTTTTTGTTAAGAAATCCTAACTTAATGCTTAAACTGAAACATTATTTGGAATTTGTATTTTTTATANGTTAATCCAGGTACATCCATATAAATAATATATTAATCAGTAGCAATAATGTCAGTATTAGGTAAGAAACTATCAGGTCTTGTCATTATTAAACCACTTGAATCAATAGAGACTTAAGGTATTCTGACATTACTATCTTATACTTCTTATTAAGTAACAATAGTTTTAACTAAAAAGTCATCAGTATCTTAAATCTGTAGTGTAAGTATAGTTCTGAAATAAGATGATAATTTAGTCTAAATGAATTAAATGAATAACTAAATACCTTACTAAATTAAATGATACTATCTACAACAGAGAATTATCTATTAACAGGAACAAATACTGCCTTTAACCAATATCTTAATAATGAAAAAACCCAAGGATTAATTGACATTCCTAAATATGAATCATCATTAACTAAACAAACATGTCTAGTAAATTCAGTTTTGAACCATAAAACATGTTTTTCTTATAATTAATTATTGATTGGATTAATAGATGCTACTTTAGTTCTTTAAATAGATCCATTTGAATAGATTTAAGTAACTTGAGTACTCCAAACATGTTCTAAGATTTCAGGTGATTCTACTTCTTTCAGATTATGTATAACAATAATTTCTCTAAATGTTTTATTTGGAGAATTTTAAAGATTTCTACTCAATCTATCTAAATATCTTTAATCAAGACTAGTAAAATCATTAACTACACAAATAAAATAATCTGATATTTCAAAAACTAAATCAGTAATGAACATTTCTGTAGCTTCTTTTTCTACAATACTTAATTCATTTGTAATTTTAACAGGTGAATAACTACCTGCAGTATCAACAAGTATTAATTATGTACCTGAATCTACATTTACATGTTTAAATGAGACACCTTTTGTAGTTACTTTCTTTCCTGAAGGTAAATTAGAAGAAGTAAGATTATTGAGTACAAAAGTTTTTCCTTTATCATATAAACCTACAACTGCAACAGCTGCACCTTCCCATTAAGCTTTATGTTATTATTTAGTAAATCCATAATTAGGTACTTCTAATTCTGATTTGACTTATGCATCTGCAAATTTCTTTGATAAATATACTTTCCAACCATTTTTAGCAATAGTAGTTATTAAATCTATATCAACAATCCAATCATATACACTTGTTTCATCTATTTCAATTTCTTTTAAATCTGATTATAATTCTTTATATTGAATAGGTTTATATTCCAAATTATATCCTGAAGTAATTGCATTAGGTTTAGTCATAACATCTTCATGTAATACAGATTATTATTCTTATTATTATATATTTACATTTTTTGTTAAGAAATCCTAACTTAATGCTTAAACTGAAACATTATTTGGAATTTGTATTTTTTATATTTTACTAGTACTATTTTTAAATCTCCTATTAAAATAGATTAAAATAAAATACCCAGTTTATCTTAATGATCTAATTTCATGCCATTTTTTTATAGATTCATAATTCTTTTCAATTTTATTCATATTAATTTCTAATTAAGATAAATGCTTCTGCCTTGATATTTATATGATAATTACAATTATTCTTCTCTTAATAAAACTTTTTCATATAATTTCTTTTTTTCATTATTTCTTATCATTACTTCATAATAAAATCCTTCAAAATAATCTTTTATTCTTTTTGGAGTTGTTTTATCATTATTATCTAATTATTTAGCTTATCCAATAAAATGCAATAACAGCTATTCTTCTTCATTTTGTATTCGTTTTAATTCATAAATCAATTCTTTAATTTCAGCTTTAGTTTCTGGTAATGACATCTTGACTATCTCTTCATTTATTATAGATTAATCTGCATTTAATAAATGTTAATGTTCTTCATCTATTGCTTCCTTTAGAAAATCATGAAATTCTCTTGCTGCAGTTCTGATTCTCTTATCTTCCATATTCTAATTAGGAAAGAAAGGTTTCAAAGGAGCCATCAAATGATGTTAATGAACCTAATCCAACTTCTCACTTCCAGAACTCATCTTTAATAATTAAATAAATATATATATATATATATTAATTACAATCATTTCTTTTATCTATCATATATTGAAGCACCTGTCATTTTAAATAGTATCTCTGGACTTCTATATATCCTAATTAATAATTCATAAAATATTTCTTCCTTAAAAAAATCTCCATCTACTCTTGCTATGTATATGCTTTAACACAAATCAAATAATTCATATGTTTCTGGCATCTCTTCAAACATTACTCTTGTACTTATTTTGTCATATGCAAATCTCAAAAATCTACCAATTGTCAACACAAATGTTGCATATATACTTATTATTGACATATTTGTTGATAATGCTCCTATTAAACTACCAAATGCTAATTCATTTAATACAAAGAATTCTACTCTATTTTATGATGATGCTATATAATATTATATATATTAAATATACCTCCTATTTATTTTAAATCTGTTGAATCATCATTAGGTACTAATTCAAAAAATACAAAATCACTTGTTTTTTTATGTATCAAACGAATATCTTAATAATAACTGATTTCTTCTCTTATATTAACTGGTTCTAATCGTAATGCTTGAGTTTCAGCAGACTCTCCAACATATAAGAATTTTGGTACTAATACTTTTATGTCAAATACTGCATCTGGTGCTCTAGGAGCTAAGATCTTACCAAAATTATTAACAAAAGTATCAGGTGCTTATACAATAGATTAACCTGTAAATGATTTTGCACCACCTTAACTATCACTCTTTTAAAATACCCATTCACATTAGATTTCTACTTAATATTCTTATGATTTTATCATATTTCTAATTTAATCTCTATAATTTTCAGGAAGATTCCATTCAAGATCACTAAATCTTTTAATTCTTACTTTTTACATTCTTTCTTACCATGATGTTTCAATTTCACCATATATTTTTTATATTTTTTTAAATTGTTCATTTGGTATATCCAATAATTCTAAATCATTTACTTAAAATAATGTAAAGAATAATTTATCATCTTAACCAAAGAAAGCAGCTTTAATACTAAATTTACCATTTGTTATATTATTAATTTCTACTGCTGGATTTAATGTACTAAAAATTAGAATTGGTAATATAATAATAAAAACAATAAACATAGAATAAAGACATCCATTTAAACATTTATCAGATGATGATCTTGGATCACCTAATTTATGATTTTCAATACGAGAATCTTAATAAGCCTAACATATATATAAATTAGCAAAGATATCTTCAAGTCTAAACCATTATATTAAATCTAATGCTGTAGTAGTAAATGTCCAATCAATAATAACTCTTAATTCATATAAAAATGGAATCATTCTATATATTTTAAATGCCATTGAATT